TGAGGGCACACTAATTATGTGTACTCTTTACACGTGATCTCTCAACATTCTCCCTACTTTTTCCTCTTTTTCACCTTTCAGCAGCATCACATTAACTCTCGCACGAAAAGTGGTGAATGTAGTATTAGCCAATGGTTTTGTTAGGCCATCAGCAGTTTGATGTGTAGCAAGAACATAGCTAACGCACAACTGGTTGGCTGCAATCTTTTCCCTTACAAAGTGAACATCCAAATCCACATATTTTGACTGCACATGATGAATTGGATTGACGCTCAACGCAATTGCACTGGTGTTGTCACACCAGATGATGGGGCATTCATGTCGTTTTACTTCTAGATCAGTTAGGAGTGCTTCCACCCATGTAACCTCTGTTGCTGCATCAGCTAAGCTTCGATATTCAGCTTCCATGGTCGATCTAGAAACCACTTTTTGCTTCTTAGCAGCCCACGACACCATGTTGCTGCCAATGAAGACACAGTAACCTGTCATGGACCGTCGATCATCAACACATCCACCCCAGTCAGCATCTGCAAAAACCTTTACATGCATTGCTTCCTTGGACGGTGAAAACATAAGTCCAAACTCAACCGTTCTAGCTAGATAAGGCAATATGCATTTTGCAGCCAGCATATGACACTCTCGTGGTGCATGCATGAATTGAGCTATCTTGCTCACACTGTAGGTTACATCCGGCCTCGTATGGCAAACATGCAACAACGATCCTACTATACTTCAAAGCTCTCTCGCATTCTCTAATAATTCATCTTCACCACTACAGAGTTTTTTGTTAGCAGTCATAGGTGTGGCAGTTGGTGTGGCCTTTAACATATTTGTTTTCTCCAGCAACTCTAAAATAATTTTTTTTGACTGAGCATTAGAGAACCAGCACATCTCTGAACTTCAATACCTATAAAGTACTTTAGGTCTCCAAGGTCTTTTAAGGAAAATTTGTCATGAAGCATTTGCACCACTCGTTCAACTTCCTCAACATTCTCACCAGTAACAAGGATGTCATCGACATAAACGAGCACAAATGTTGATACACCACGTGCACGAGTGATGAACAATGAAACATCAGCTTTCGATGGCCGAAATCCCATTTGCAACAGATTGTCCTTCAACTTAGAGTGCCAATTTCTTGGTGCTTGGCGTAACCCATAAAGGGCCTTATGAAGTTTGCACACAAGTTTAGTGTCATCTGCAGCAGTTTGTTCAAACCCAGGCGGTTGTTGCATGAAGACGTCCTCACTCAAATCACCATTTAAGAAGGTGTTGTTCACATCTACATGCCTTAGGGGCCATCTGTTTGTGACAGCAAGGGACAACACAACATTTAGTGTTGGGAACTTGACTACTGGACTGAAGGTCTCTTTAAAATCTTGCCCTGGAACTTCTGAAAAACCCTTTGCAACAAGGCGTGCCTTGTAAAGATTGACAGTGCCATCCGGATTCTGTTTTAACTTGAACAACCACTTGCACCCAACGGCTGTTCGTCCAGCTGGCAGTGTCACCAACGACCATGTACCATTTCGTTGCAAGGCTGCTAGTTCATCTTGCACAGCAGCTGCCCAGTTGCTCGATTTCATAGCCTAATGGACATCCGTAGGAATTGTCCCACCAACCTCACTAACAAACACTTTCGGTTTGAATATACCACACTTACTGCGTGTAAGCATGGGATGATTGTTGGTAATAGGAATAACATCAACCGAAGACTCAACTGAGGCTTCATTGCCAGGCTGCACATCGACATTGTTCTCACCACTACTACTCGAACCAGCACTTGATGAGGAACCTTCAGCAGGCAACAAGGGAACATTATCACTATCGGGCAGATCGGCCTCGGCCACCAAGGAGTCGTGACTATATTCACTCAACACAGCACCTACATGCGAAGTGTCACTAGCAGACGCATGTTGTGGCAGTTCTTCTTGAAGACATGGCTTGTGATGCTTAACAACAACCTCAAGAGCTGCTGATCTCGGTGAAGGCTGAGTATGACAGCATGTAGTAGTCTTTTTTCTGCAAAAGGGAAAACAAACTCATCAAATTTAACATGCCTGCTAATAAATACTCGACCATTGGGGTCAATGCACTGAAAGCCTCGATGTTGAGTGTTATAACCTAAGAACGTGCATTCTCTGGATCGGGGCATCAACTTATGCGGTTGAAATGCTCGTAAGTGTGGGAAACACCTACAACCAAACACACGTAGCAATTTATAGTCTGGTTTCCTATTGAATAGCTTCTCGAATGGTGACACGTTGCCGAGCACTTTGGTGGGCAATCTGTTCACAAGGTGAGCTGCAGTAGCTACTGCATATGATCAAAAACGAACTGGAAAGGAGGCTTGAGCTAATAACACAAGCGCCAACTCTATTAAGTGTCGATGCTTACGTTCTACTACCCCATTTTGCTCAGAAGTGTGAGGACACATGACCCTGTGTAAAACTCCTTCTCGGTTTAATTCATTCGCCCAGTTTCTGTACTCCCCTCCCCAGTCACTTTGCACAGCTTTTATAGGTAGAGAGAATTGTGTCTTAACCATCATTTGGAACATTTGAAATGCTACAAGTGCCTGTGACTTATCCTTCAAAAAATAAACCCATGTGTATCTTGTACATGCATCTACAAACGAAATGTAATATCTATTTCCAGTCGAGGGTTCAGGTGCAGGCCCCCAGAGATCAGAGAAAACAAGTTGGAATGGAACATCATATATAGTATCGGACTCAGTAAAGGGTAACTTGTGACTTTTACCCAAACAACAAGCAGCACACGTGTGATTTGCATTATTCGAAATATCAACAGCAATTGTCCTACAAACAATCTTTAAAACAAAAATGGCTGGGTGTCCTAACCTCCTATGCCACAGATCAAGTACATTACAAGAGACATTCATCGAAAAAGCCTTTGGTTTATTATAAGTACTCAAACTATTATTATCCAATGCAAATGTATAAAGGCCACCTTGTTGATTGCCTCGTAGTATAACCTCGCCTGATGCCTCATCACGAATGCAGCATCCATCCGAATGAAACTCGAAGAACACATGATTATCCCTAGCAATCTTTGACACCGAAAGAAGATGTTTAGTAATTTGAGGCACATGTAATAATTCTGTGAGCAACAAAGCTCGTGAGGATGACGCTGAATGCAATAAGGATTTACCAACCGTATTTACACTAAGGGAAACTCCATTTCCAACCAATAAGTTACCTGGACCATCAAGGTCAGTGATATGAGCTGTGTTGGATGCATCCGGGGTCACGTGATGTGTGGCCCCCGAATCAACCACCCACTGAGCACGATGAGGCGCAACAAAATTAGCCTGGGGAACACCACCAGCTTGCACCGAAGCAGCACCATGTTTACTGGCACAACATGCACAACTAACATTGTCGAGGCTCACATAGTTGACATTGCTGGATTCATCCTTAGATTTTGACTAAGCATTATTCGCTATGACACCAACAAAATCACGATCAAACCGATACCAGTATCTGTCAACCGAGTGGCCATTCTTGCCACATAATTGACACTGCAGGCGGGCTCGACCTCTACCACCAGGTCGTCCTCCACGCATTGAGGCAAACTGCTGTGGTTTGTAGTTATGAGTATTATCCGAAGCAGTATTAGTGGCATGAGTTTGGCCTTGCACAACGTTAGCACTCATCGGGAAATTCTCAGCATGAGAATCAAATCCAGCCAATTGAGTCTCGGCATCAATAAGCATGGAATAGATCCGATCCAGAGTAAGCAAATCTGGACTTGTTGTAATTACCGCCATAAAGGATTGATACTCTCTTAGCAAGCCTTTTAAGACACTCACAGCGTGCTCAACTTGCGACACAGGACTGCCACACGACTCGAGAGCATCACAAATCTCCTTGATGCGTGTGAGATAAACACGCATGGAGTCATCACCTTTCCTCAACGACTGCAGCTTGTAGTGTAAATTCATGACTGTTGTTGTCGAGCGGTTGGCAAAAAACTGCACCACAGTACGCCAAACAGCCGTTGCGGAATCAGCTCCTACAAACTGAGGTAAAAGCGGAGCACTGATTGTGGATAAGAGCCACGAGGCAAGAGCACTGTCTTGTGCCATGAAGTCTTCAAACGCTTCATTAACACTAGATACTCCATCCTCATCAATAACAAATTCAGGTGGTACAGTCATCGTACCATTAAGGAGCCGTTCGAGCCGATGACTACGAACCGTGAAGAGGACATGCTGCTTCTAGAGAAGGAAATTGGTTTTGTCCAAAACAACATTCATTTTCTTATTTGTAAACATGGCGAATCAAGCAGGAAGCAACACTTTAGCAACTGGCGTCAGAGAGCACAGCGGAGAAGAAGCCCAGAATGTTTGGCGAAAGATACCATATCAGAAACTCAACATAAGATGTAAATTTGTAGTATATTATTCATGTTTGACGAAATCTAAATGTTTTTTTAAGTTATAAGCTTAAATTGAAAAAAACTTCTTTGATGTTTATAGATTGATTTTTTATGTGTAAATATTTTTATATCTGTTATTGAAACTTTGAGAGTGGTTTTACGATTAATTTTCAATCGTTATCTGAGTTATCATTATAATTTTGTAATAATTAAATTGATCGTTAAATCAATTGATCAGAGACAACTTATTCATCAAAATTGAGATGTTTTGTTGTAGTTTTTAATCTCTCTCATCCAATAAATGGAGAGCTCTTATGTTTATTTCACTTCATCCAATAAATGGATAACTCTTATGTTTATTTCACTTCATCCAATAAATGGATAACTCACACTTCTCTGCTGCTAAACATCACAACATATATCCAACACCAAATACAAAATGAAAAGCTAATTGGAATATAAATGTTGGAAAAACCAAATTACAATGACAAATGTAGCTAGAATTACAAGCAACGATGATAGGATCAAACTCTATTTTCCAGTCTTGAATTTTCCTACAGAAAAAGGGCCCATTTTCAAATATGAGTAGTTCTGAACTGCTACATACCATAAAGATCCCATCTTTGTAGATCATCAGGTGCTACACAATTCCAATGGACAATATAGTTGCATCCGGACTTCGTGCATTGAAGAGCCAAATCTTCACAAGGCTCGTGACATTCATCACAATCAGGATAATAGTAACTCTTCTTGACGAAGGTGAGTGGGTGTGGATGATCGTATTCTTCATAGATGCTCCCGAGTTTGATGAATGGATATTGCACAATGATAAAACCAACAATATGAATCTCGACTTTCTTCACAAATATCACAATAATAACTTTCTGAATAACTATTATCGTCATGATTAGTGAGTTTAAGAAGATGTTCATCACATTTATGATGAACTGTGTTTCAGAGAGAAAAACATTCATGGTTTAGCACAAAGTTGCAATCCTTACAGCGAAATGCCCCGTCTGTAGTATCACCACGTGCATTGCATCGCTCTTCGTAATTTTGATAGTAAAGGAGGGGATGTTCATGATTAAAACATGTTCGAGCACCTGGGGTAAGTGCAATCACACATCGGATACATGTTTGTCCCATACATCCACCACATTCATAGGCAAAGGCATTAGACACTTGGCTACATTCTGCGCAATTAAATAATGTACCTGAAATGAGAACGAGAGTTGCCGACATTTATGATGCCACACATGCTTCTTCTTCGGTAACTCGACACAAGTTTTATGAAGAAAAAATTCGCATTGTGAACAAGAGTAAAATGGATCCGATATCGGTAACATACACCCATCGCAACTGTTTTCGCACCCTCCAACAAAAGAACTTAATTGGAGATTATGCGTATGCTTGAAATGTTGAATTTCTGTAGCTTCTCCAGCATCGTTCCTCTCCAAAACACAGGTGATGGAACTTTCATAAGATATCTTATTTGCATCTTCACGTGAAACTATAGAATATGAACTTGCTTCCTTTGTCACACAACGAACATGGAATGTATCATTGCAATATGAGCAACAATAACTCCCGTGCTCTGGGTTTACCGCATCATGACAAATAATGCAATTTGAGCTTCCAAAATCATCTGGAAGGAAATAGTTGTGAAAGATTGCATGATCATGCCACCTGCTCTTGATGATGCTTGGTAACGAGGTACACTTTTTATGGACTAAAATGTTGCATTCACAACACATATAAGCAGAGTAAGTTCCTTCGGTACCACATGCATCGCAGATGAAAGGTGTTCGTCTTGGGAACAAACTGAATGGGTGTTCATGACGCTCATCTTTGATAACAGGAACAAGATGTGATGAAAAACATTCAATATGAACAACAAACTTACAAGTCAAACAACCATAAACAAACCCTTCATCCCAGGTATGTTGGCATATCTTGCAAGAGAGCCGATCGCTATTAAATTGTAAAAGGAGAGGGTGTTTGCGATGACATTTATGATCAAGTGTGAGGGGAAGCTCAGCACATTTTTTATGTAGATTAAATCCACAATCAGGAGAGAAGTATGCATAATTTGCTATTGGTTCCCAGCACCCAAAGCACTTGGTAACATCTTCAAGTTCTTCATCATCTGTTTTAGTAGAAATGATTGGAGGTTGAAGGGCAACATGCTGAAGCTCTTTCAAATGATTTTGAGCAATATTAAATGAAAACAAAGCACATTTAATATGAAAGTCCAAACCACAAGAGCAATGATTAATTCCCAAAATGGGAATGTTTAATTCCCAAAACAATGTTGTAATGCTATTATTTCCCCAAATGGGGTGTTTGCTACAGTTAAGTTTGATCTCTCGGCATCTTCAGCAGATTACTCGGCGTCTTTGCATGGAAGGTTGGAGCTCTCGGCGTCTTCAACACAATTTCCATGGATATCTCGACGTCTTTCATGTGTTTTTGCAGCCAAAGGTTACAGCAAAACCAGAAAAGTCTGAAACCCATCTGAAACATTAGAGCATGTTTCAGTGTTTGACTTAATTGTAGCAAACACCCCATTTGGGGAAATAATAGCATTACAACATTGTTTTGGGAATTAAACATTCCCATTTGCATTAACGTGGAAGTTTTGCAGGGTCGACTTCAGTAATAATACACATCCTCTTATCGATTAATAATAATAACAATAATAACAACTTGTTAAAAATGGAGCTGTATAAATCATTGATAACTACCATGCTCTGGATTGACCTCCTCATGGCATATTATGCAATCAAAAGTTCTAAAAAAAATTCGTAATGAAAAAGACTATAATCATGCCATTTGCTTATGAGAATATGGGGGCAATGAGATGCATTTTTTTGTGGAAATCGCTTGGGCTTTCCTTCGGTTTGCGGTTCTTAAATAGTCTTTGGACCAAGCTTAGGCTTGAGGCCTACTCCAAAACGCAAAGACCCAATTATTATAAATTCACTTATTTCATCATGGGTAAAGGATTCATTTTCTTTCATGAGTATATGATCCACGTGGTTAAAAGTGATAAAACTACTATATAAGTCCCTATCTTATAATATAAAGTGTATTTTAGTCCTTTTATTTCTAAAAGGAACATTTATGTCTAGGGATGATCATTTTACTTGAATTCAACAAGTTTCAATTCAATCTTATAAAGTCGAGGTTTGAATCAGATCAGGTTTTGTGGAAGATAGGTTGGGCCGGGTCGACCTTATAGTTAGGGTAAAAAATCTCTAACCGGACTCGAGAATATAATAGTATAATTTTCCTCTATTTATTTAAAGATAATAACTATAATACATCTTTCTTTATATTTTTAATTAAAATTTTATTTTATCGAATAAAAATAACTTCTTTATATTTATATCAGACTGTATGTAAGTTTTATCTTAAAATACATGTAGAATATAAATGTTAAACTCTAATATTATATAAAAATCCAACAACCATGGATTACAAGAGCCACAATCACACTGCTTTTAAGACAACGCAATCAATTACAGAAGTAAAGTGTAAAATTCAATTGTGGTTACAATGAACTTGCTAGTTCTGGCCAGTAAAAGCTCCTATAACTGACCTTTTGCATCATCCAAAGAGTCATTGTAATCAAATCAACCAGAATTCAAATAAAAGTATTTAAAAAAATTAATTCGAATTTGATATAAAATTTTATTTTATTTTATCAGAAATTGTTTTCATAACAACATGACAGAATCCTTGAAGGTAACATCATGCTTTTGCACGTTATTTAATTTGACTGAAAATGAACAAGAAACTTAGAAAGCATGCCTATTTCATGATTGTCTGTCGATAGTCGTGTCCACTTTATTTAATTAGGATAAACTAGAAAATAGGTCGCTTAATTATTATTACGATTATAAATAAGTCACTGAATATTAAAAACTTATAAGTTGGTCGTTAAACTAATCAATTGTTATAAATAAGTCATTCTATCATTAAAATGAATCAGATGCTAGCTTTTTAATAATAATTATATTATTGGGTAAAGTAGACAAATGATCTCCCGACTATAGGGTGTTATTTTGTTGAGTTCCATGACTATTAAAAGTTATAAGATGATCCATTTACTATAAGATTTTTTTGAGTCTCCGACTATTGAAAATTACAAAACGGTCACCATTTATATGTTTCAAAATTATCCTTTTTCCATTAAAAAATTGACGCTCGTCTAAGCTAAACATTAACTCGCTGGCTAATATATGATAAAATCATATTTTAATGATGTTTATTGACAACATCATTGCTTTCAAGCATTGTCTTAGCAAACATAACGTAAATAGAGAATCAATCCATAAAATACAACTAAAATATTCTAGGATCATATTTTATTATATCTCAATCAACAGGTTAATGTCCACCTTAGACGATCACCAATTTTTCTAACTTTTAATAGTCTTGTGACTCAATAAAGCAACACCTTATAGTTGGTAGACCATTTGTATACTTTGTCATAGATTATTTTATTTAACAATTATAACAATAAGAATACTTAACTTGTCGATTATTACAGTCAAGATAGCCAACTAGAACTACAAAACTAATAGATGCTACAGAAACAAAGTAACCTGTTAGTATTAATTAATTGATTGATTGATCCATTTATAAGTTTTGAAATTTTGTGACTCGTTTGTAATTTTATTAATAATTTGAGTGGAGTTTGGTGTAATTTACCCATTTAATTATTGTCTAACAAAAAAGATTGATTTTTTTTTTTTACATTTAATTTCTTCCAAGATTTTTGGCTTTATTTATATGTTATATATATATGAGATGCGGAGAATTTAAAATTGAGAATGGTACTGTTATGGCTGCTGAAACGATCTCACTTGTCTTGCCATATTTTTAGAGACAAAACAAAAGAGAAAAGGATGTCCTATTCTTTTCCAATATTTTATAATCAACAAATTAAAAATTGCACAAAGCCATCGAAGGATTTGCTCTCTTGGGCGACAATTTGCTTGAGTGCTACTTGAATATGCATGTTGTTAAAATAATCATGATTCAAATCATGAATAGAGATGAAATTATTGATAGATTCAAAAATATTAATTTTATGAAGGTTATTATATATATATATATATATTAATAACATAATATTTTTAGGAGCGGATACAAATAATATTTTAAAATGAGCATAATCAATAAAATAAATAACTAATAAAAAAAATTAAAACTTAGCGTATGAATTTTTGTATAATTTGTTCTTAATTCGAAATAATTAAATAAATTTACTCATTCATATTTAAAAAATCATCATTTTAGTATTTATTATTATCATAAATTACCTGTATTTTTCTCAAAAATATTATATTACTTTTCGGATATAATAATAATTTTACTTTATAACAGAATACGGTTATCCAGCTATTTACTAATCTAATATATTTTTTTAATTTAATAATATCGTAAAAAATAGATTAATAATAAAATTTATAAATATAAAAAGTAAATTTTAATTCAATTGACACCAATAGTATTATTATAATTTTCGAAAGATTATAAATTTGAGTCGAAAGAAATTTAATTCAAAAGGTCGTATCAAAAACATGTTCCACGAAATTTAATTGATCCCTTGACCTAATATCAATCAAGATCCAAAATAGATTATAATAATTTATTTTTTAGACATAAAGGAATAAAAATCCAGCTATGGCAATTATAAACCCTAGAAAGGTGCTGCCAAAATAGGGAAAAAGGAATAATTTTGCATGTGGGGGAGGGCTGCCTCTTGATTAATTTATCTTTTTTTCACTTTTGAATTGTCAATTGACTTAATTCCACGACAAATTATTGACAGCGATGATGATCATGATTATGACAATGACCTGGCAACTAGCTTCTTCATCTACTTAACTTTTGCCACTTCCCTTTTATTTTTTTATTACTTTTATTAATTTATGAATTTCCACTACAAATAAATAATAATAAAAGGAAAAGGAGAAGTTTCTTTTCGAAGAACTGCACCAATGTACTCCAATAAAATTTATTTATATTTATATTTAATTAAAATAATTATTGTAATGAATTTTATTGTATCTGGTTTATTTATTTCATTAATGAATCAATATTAATGATTATATAAAAATTTATCTATATTTATTTATTCGAATGGAACTCTTTTGCCCCTCACATATCCCTATTTTTAGACACCAAATCATAAGTTGATTTCAAAATAATTTTTTAATCTATTTTTTGAATTCAATATTTGTTAAAATTTGAATAAATGATTTAATATATGAAGAAAATGTTAATTATTTTATTTTACAATGTAAATTTAATTCAATAATTAACTAATCAAAACTCAATCTAATAGATTACTTTGAGGTAATCCTCGTCTATTTTCCCTTCCTCTGCAATTTATTTTGGTTCTTTCTCTACTAGAATTTCATGATTAAGGTATAATCAAATATAATTAAACTGATCATCGATCCTGGTACTGCTCATAGTTCATTGTTTCTGGTCTGAATAATCCTTATCCGAGATTAAATAGATTCGTCGTGAAATTAATATAATGGATGATGTCATGATTAAGTTGACGATTTTTTAAGATTAGATACCAATAGTTATAAAATATGTTTTTAATATATTAAAAGGGGTGTCGTTTTATGATTGAATTAATTCGTGTAAACAGCCAACTGATGAGTGAAAGGCTGTTGTTGCAAAGCATTGGCATTGGGACATAAATATCTTCCTTTATTGTCAACAACACTGATAGTGCACATAGAACAACAGATTATCCACCAAATAGCAAATACACATGCCCACAATAAATTAAAAGAAAAGAAAAAACACCCTCACTTACTTCTTACGCCACTACAATAAATTAAGAGCAGGTGGAACAGTGCTACCAAAGAAGTGGAAGTTATCTGTAGGCCCGAGTTATCAAGATTGTATCTCTCAGATGCAGTGCTTAGACCCTTATTCCATGGACTTGAAAAGGAACTGATTTGGTGTCCAAAACTCCACTCCTCGGAACCTGCCTTTATTCTTTCTGTGAAACTAGAACCTGAAATTTTGATGTTGGAAATGAATAAGGATGTCGAATGATTTATGATTAACTATTTGTTTAATTGAAATGTTACTTACATGAACAATGTGTGGTTGATGTTTTTGGGTCTAGTAGGGGATTGGTGGTGGTGGAGAAGCATAAATGTAGACTGGAGGTGGAGGTGATTTCACCGGTGGGGGAGGTGAGTGGTAGTAGTATGGAGGGGGTGAGGGAGATGGTGGTGGGGGAGATTTGTAGTAGTAGGGGGGAGGGGGAGATGGTGATGGTGGAGGGGGGAGTTGTAGTGGTATGTAGGTGCTGGAGCCTTCACGGGAGGTGGGGGTGATTTGTAGTAGTATGGTGGTGGTGGAGAATGAACTGGTGGTGGGGGTGATTTGTAGTAGTATGGTGGAGGAGGATATGTTGATGG